TCTCTGTCATGTGGATGGAGGAGCTCAGTGACGAGAGGAGAATATGTAGCGCTGAGCTAATACATATATATGGTGATAGCATATTATTCTGCCTTCTCCTCTCTGTCAACGCTCTCTGGTTTCATTTAAAAGAGTCGATCATCAGATATTGTCCAAGATTAACCTTCAGGGTGGATATAGCTCGCTAGCAGCCTCGCACCGATGACCTAGTTGATGTCATCATTTACCCAGAATGCTTTGCGTGTAAATAAAATGGCCCCGTTCGTGTTAAAATATATTTTTAAACTTTTAGTTTAAAAATAATAAAAACTAAACAGCCTACAGCATTTTTACAGTCTTTATTTTACAGTAAAAGTAAATGTTTATCACATAAAGTCTAATGTTACAACTAATCGGGGATCCCTTTAAACAGGATGAAACCTCCAGCAGAACCAGGCTCAGGACGAGCAGTCGTCTGTCTCGACCGGCTGGGTTGGGGACAGGAAAGAGACAAAAAACCCAAAAGGTCCGGGTGTCTTTTTCTACTGGAAGAGAGACAAAGAAAACACATGTTATTAGTAGAATTACACTATCTGGCAAAAAAATAATAATAATAATAAAAAGCTGCCCTCTGGATTTAACTAAGCAGTTAGGTACGAGTCTGCTGTTGAATAAATAATACATGGGCAATTATCTTTCAGCTGGCAACAAGTTATTTAACCCCAACTGGTGCAATGAGGTGCTTCGTCTTAAACGTCTCAAAAGACACATCCCGTCCCGTGGTTGTAGTAAAGATGTCAGACTGTTTGAGAAGGGTCAAATAGGCTTCAGTTTGCAGCTAAGGAGCATAAAGATTGAACTCTGGAGCAATGGAAGAAAGTCGTGAGTCCAGATTTACCCTGTTCCAGAGTGATGGATGCATCAGTGTAAGAAGAGAGGGGGGCATCATGCCTAGTGCCTACTGTGGGGTCAGGTCTGCGATGTGGGGTTGCTGCAGTTGGTCAGGTCTAGGTTCAGCAACAGTTTGTGCTCACAGAATGAGGTCAGCTGACCTGAAAATACTGAATGAGCGGGTTATTTCATCAATGAATTTTCTTCCCTGGTGGCACGGCCATATTCCAAGATGACAATGCCAGGATTCATGGGGCTCTTATTGTGAAAGAGGGAGCATGAGACATCATTTCCACACATGGATTGGCTCCACAGAGTCCATGAGAATCTTTGGGATGTGCTGGAGAAGGTCAGACTCTACCATCATCAATGCAAGATCTTGGTGCAAAACGAATGCGACACTGGATGGAAATAAATATTGACATTGCAGAAGTTTATCCAAACTATGCCGCAGTGAATGTGTGCTGTAATCAAAGCTAAAATATATATACAACAAAATATTAGAATGACTTTTTTGTGGTGTAGATTTACATAAAGTGTGTTGTGCTAAAGTGTAATGGTGAGTGTTGTGTTAAAGTGTGATGTGTAACAGCAAACATGGGTAAGTAGACGTGTGATATAGTGTGTTGTGATGTGATGAGTTTTGTAAAAACCAGTGTGTAACAATGTGTTGTATATATTTCTAGATGAACCCTCCTGAGTCCTGCAGCACTTTGGATGATGTCAAAAGAAAGCTTCAGTTTGTTTCAGCCAGCAGGTATAAAACTGATCAAGTTCACGTCACCCAGTGGGGGAAAAAAGTATTTAAACCTTTATTCTCCTTTACAGGAAGGACAAACACATCTAGATCTTTTCCAGGCAACACTTTGTTTCATGTTGGAGTAACTGTGATCTGATCTAATTTTACTTTTTTGATTTTGTTTAAATAAAGTTCGTTGAAAGTTTGGATGTTAACATTTGATGATGGAAATGTTTACCTTTTTTATTTTGACTGTGCAGCTGCAGTTTTTCTTTTGATAAGTTCAAGTAGGCCCTAGTTTGTAAAACATTCAGTGAAGAAAACGTTTATTGGGTTGTTTATTATTATTAAGTTTTGTCACTGTGCTTTGACATGGACCTTAGCAATTTTCAGTATTGCTAGATTAATTTCTATTTTATTATTTGTGTTCTTTTTTTCTTGATTCACAAGTCACAGGGTAAATGTTTTGTTGGATATTTATTTTTTTCTGTTTGTTTCAACTGTTGTTGACTCATTAAAAAATGTCGTGACTCGTGTTTCAATAAAGTTGTTGAATTCAAATCAACTCTGGCATTACGGATCTTGTAGTTTTTTTCAGCATAAATGAGAAACGACACGACACGTTTTACGGCTTCAGTAGCATTTACGGCAGAACAACTACTGTAACGCATGTGCACTATGTTGACCTCTAATATCTCAAGCATGGCAGCTCGGATTTTTACAAAAGGTAAGAAATAAAACGTTTTAGAATTCGGCAAACATTTTTATGTTTCAGGCATGGTGATTTATTATGTTTAATGTTTTAGTTGAACGTCAAAGTCTGGTCGTTAACGATAAACGAAATGTAATATTAATTAGCACGCTACAGCTAAAGCTAACTGATTGTAATTATCAGAGTTTTGATGTTTCCTCAGGTTTTTGTCGGCTTCGACCCACACCGAATGGACGTCACTTTGTTACTGCAGCGTCCATTAAATCCACTCAGACCCAAACGGACGATGTTAGCGGTGAGTTAATACCTGCTCGGTTTTAATTTTAAACCCTGTTCTGTCGCTGACTCTTCTCGTCCTCCACCCAGACGATACCTTAAAGCTGTCGCTGCAGAAACCGGATTTTTTCCGTGTGTCGGATCTCTTCACCCTGAACGATCTGTTTCAAGCCAGAGTTCATCTGGGCCATAAAAGGACTTGCAGACACAGGTTAGTTCCAGGATGTTCCCTCTCTGGTGATGTTGTACCTAACAAACACTGTTTGAAGGATTTTACAAACGTTACGCTGAAAGTTATGTTTAAACATGCCATTAGAGGTTCACCATTTCTGGTTCTGTGGGTTGAGATCAGTTGTTCTTAAAGATTTACCAGAATACAACATATCTGTCCATCCATTTTCTTTAATCACTTTATCAAGCAAGGAGCTGGTGCCTAACCCCAGCGGCCATTGGGCAAGAAGCTGGGTACAGTCGCCAGTCCATCATAGGGACAAATGAGACATAACCATTCATGATGTCACAGTTTGTGCAAACGTATGTTTGCGGTATGTGTGAGAAAACCCACATGTGCACATGAAGAACATGTAAACCACACAGAAAGACCCCCAGGCGGGAGGTAAACCTGAATCCTTTTCACTGTGGGGCAATGTTGTATGAAGTACCTCGTAGTGATACTTGAGTAAAAGTACAAGTATCCCATCATAAAAATACTTTAGTAAAAGTTAAAGTCTTCTCTAAAAATATTACTTGAGTAAAAGTCTTAAAGTATCTGATATTTTTTACTTAAGTATCAAAAGTATGTTTCTGACACAAAATCTACTGAAGTATTAAAGGCACAGTGTGTAGGATTTTGTCAACTCTTTTAGCTGAAATTGAGATAATCACTAATGACAATAATAAAAAACATGTCTAACCATTGCAGACAAAGACCTTGTTTTATTATTTTTACCTTATAAAAAGCTGTTTATATCTCCATGGTCGCGGGTCGCCATTACAGGCAGCCGCCATCTTGTTTACAAAGGCTCATGAAGGACAAACTGTGGTGGCGGCGTCAAAAACGGTTTTAGTTGTAATACTATAAATGTAATATTTGTTGTCTGTCATTGTAGCTGGGATAATTTTACTTATTAAATTAAATTGTTACTTACACACCGTGGCGGGTGTGTAACGAACTAAAAATAAATAAATAAAATAAATAAATAAAATGTGTTCAAATCGCGCTACTGACTTTTGTCAAAACCTCAGGTTCGTTTTTATTTTGCATTACAGAGCCTGTAGGACGTTAAAAAACATTAACATCAAATAAACCCACTTTGTAGCTAGAAATAAGATCTCCCCTACTTTCCTGTGCACTGTCATCTGTGTGCCCTCCCCCATGCGCTCATTATACAGGTAAACGTCCGATTATCAGAAGGAGAAAATAAAAACACMAACTTTAATGTGGCGTTACATATCTGGAGTTAAKCGGGCAGCAGGTAACAAAASCCTTTCTCAAGACGAACCAAAGGAAAAACTGAAAGTTGCAGTTTTTTTTTTTTTTTATAATAATAAATGCAAAGGGGGAAAAACAGACAATAGTGAATTTAACAGGGTAGTTAATTTAGTTTCATCTGTCAGCAAACAGAAAAGCTGAACTGTAGGCAGGCATCAAGAGTAAAAACCTGAAATCAGCTGAGTAAAAACACCGTTTCTAACTGCCGATGTGTGAACATTACATAAATGTTAGTTTAAAAAAACGTCATATTAGTTGTTAAATATTTTAACTCAGTATGATCACTTTGATTGACCAATAGAAACTTAAGGAAAATTTGTTTTTTAATCTCTAGGAAACGTCTGAAAATCAGCTGACAGCTCCAATCAATAAATAAATAAATTACTTAATTAAATAAGTAAATAAATAATCTGCTCTTATCCCTTAACTTTTCTCTGCAGGCTATTTTTGGATGCAGAACAAAACAAAGACCCAGGCAAACTAAGTAACTAAATGAACCTTGTGACATGAACTTTTTCAAAAGTAAAAATAGAAATGATCACTATGAGACAATGGATCATCAGAGGGATTTCCATCTGTTATTGAAATCTCACTCAGAACAGAAGAAAGACCCATATTCATGCTAGTAGCCTGTAGAACAAAAACTGCAAGTGATAAAATTCAAAGGTTTTTATTAAATGAAGGGGATAAATTTACCTCAAGTAATTTAGTTTTGTTTTCACCTTGAAAATTTCTCCTATATTATTAAGGTTAAAAAGCTTTTTTTTTCCAGCCAAGTAGCCTACATAAAATATGTGGTATTCCACCTACATACCAGCAAAAAGCAAGTTAGTAAGAGAAGTAGAGATGTCAAAAAGTCCATCATTTAAATGTTGTCAAACAGTCTGGCTTGAATACTAAGACACTAATAGATTTTGAGTGCCATTATCTGATTTTAGGTACAAATAATATAATGCCACCGTGTTACAGGAAAAAAAAAAGTGGCTGGTAAAAAGTTTGAGTGGCCGGAACAAAACTTATTTTTTACCAGCCACTGTGGCTGGTGGGGAAAATTTTTAATTTCCACCCCTGGAGGCATTCCTTTTTTTGTTTCTGTGTTTTGGTGACTTTATTAATGGTAGTTCTCCTTCCAGGCTGATGGAACCTTACCTGTACGGCTGCCGTTTGGAACACGACATCATTGATCTGGATCAGACTATGGAGCACCTGCAGTTGGCTCTGAACTTCACCGCCCACATTGCTTTTCGCAGAGGTATCATACTGTTCATCAGCCGCCACCGACAGTTCTGCCACCTCGTGGAGACCACTGCCATGGAATGCGGGGAGTACGCACACACGCGGTACTGGAAGGGGGGCGTCCTGACAAACGCCCACGTCGAGTTGGGCAAAGGGGTCCGCCTGCCAGACCTCATCATCTTCCTGTCCACTTTCAACAACGTCTTCAGACAGCACGTCGCTATCAGAGACGCAGCCAAGATGAACATCCCCACGGTGGGCGTGGTGGACACCAACTGCAACCCCAGCCTGGTGTCGTACCCCATTCCGGGTAACGACGACACTCCTGTTGCTATGGAGCTGTACTGCCGCTTGTTCAAGAAGACCATCAACCTCGCCAAACAGAAAAGGAAACAGATGGATTTATTACAAAATCTGACGGCTCCGTCTGGGTCCTGATCTGCCAGAACTTGTTTTACTTTAAAAACCAGAAACCTCTGCATCACGTGGTCCTCTGTCAAAACCGTCTGATTGCATGTTGGCTGGAGCTTCTCGTCTCATTAAACAGTGAAATGTGCTGAACATTGTAAAGAAACGAGTTCATGTTTATCTGAAGAAAAGTGGTTGTTTCACGTTGAGAAGAGTTTTTTCATAAAATGTTGTTCTTCACATAATTTCTGGGTTTATTTTTGAACCGTTTTTGCATCAAGAGTGTTTTGTTTAGAATGATAATAAAACAGACTTTTAAGTCTAGAATAAAAATTTATGCTTCTTAAACCCTAATTTTAGCAAAGAAATACTCGACATTTAACTGAGAAGTTTTGTTTAGATAAAGGAATTTTTAATTTAGTTTTTATTAAGATTGGTATTGATTTAAACGACAAAAAAAATGAAATAGTTGAAATGTGCATATTGTTAAATTTAGGGCCGAATTTTAAACCATTTTAATTCTAAAGTCAGAACTAGAGAATTTCTGATGTGTGCAATGTTCCCTGTGGAAATCAGGAAACACCAGGAAAATGACTTAAAGGCACAGTGTGTAGGATTTTGTCAATTCTTTTAGCTGAAATTGAGATAATCACTAATGACAATAATAAAAAACATGTCTAATCATTACAGACAAAGACCTTGTTTTATTATTTTTACCTTATAAAAAGCTGTTTATATCTCCATGGTCGCGGGTCGCCACTACAGGCAGCCATCTTGCACCGCCATCTTGTCTACGAAGGCTCATGAAGGACAAACTGCGGTGGCGGCGTCAAAAACGGTTTTAGTTGTGAAACTATAAATGTAATATTTGTTGTCTGTCATTGTAGCTGGGATAATTTTACTTATTAAAGCTCATAATCTTACCACTTGAAACATCACTAGCCCTGAAGCTGCTGGGAGACATCGTTTGGAAGTGGGGGTGGGGGGAGGACTCCACTCAACCACTAGATGTCGCTGAAAACAACAAATCCTACACACTGTGCCTTTAATGAGATTTTGACAGGTGTGTGCATTAATGCCAGTATACTACCATAGAGTTTCACTTCCTGCTCCCTCCAATTTACTGTTAACCTGAAACACAGTAAGTTAATGGAACTTGGACTCACAGGGAAAACTCGGGAATTTTTGTTATTAAATAATAGGAATCCTAGAAGCTCAAACCATAGAGTTAAATAAGTCAACTAGAGTTCCTATCCTTCCCATCCTTGCCCCTGTGACATGTAGAGAAGCAAAGATGGCAACACCTCAGATGACAAAGTAACTATTTAGTTAACAGCAAGCTCAGCTGGATCTGTCAAATTATTTGTAGTCTTTTTTACAATAAATTAATATAATCTATAATGTCAGTTTCACTCAACAATCAAAACAGCTAAATTATATTTGAAATATTGTTTATAGTACTGATTGAAACCAGACCTGAAATCAGTCAATAAGCTGTACTTTTTAGCTAATTAAATAATTATAACTTAAACTTTTTGCAACAAAGTTTTTTTAGCTCGTGAGTATAGTCCGGATGCAGACTTCTAACAAGGTTGAGTCAGGTCATTTGAACGGGCTCTTATTTGTTGAACACATCCAGAAGACCTGACTCAGCCTTGTTCTATGTACTTAGGCTACTGTATGTAGGCTCTACTAGTTACAGCTAATTGCAGTGATCAGTGTCTAATCTATACCTAAGCTTAGAAAGTACAATTTCAGAATTCATGTGCAGAGATTTTTTGTAAATGATAGAAAACAAGAGGCAATACCAGATGGTATTCATAATTTGTAGCCTGTACAGAATACTGCTACAGTCTAGTCCAGTGGTTCCCAAACTTTTTGTCTTCTGATCCACAAAATATCCATGGCAAAAACTTGTGACCCCAAATATTACTGGTCTGAGTACAAGAACTTCATTAATAACCCTAAAAACACAGGCTTTTGACAATCTAAACAGCTTGTACACAAATATAAATACTTATTTGCACTTAT